AAAACATCAATTTCAAAGAACCTATGCACCACAATGTTCATAGCAGCACAATTTACAATAGCCAAGAGTTGGAAGCAACCTAGGTGCCCATCAGTAAACAAATGGATCAAAAAATTGTGGTACATATACACAATGGAATTCTATGCAGCAGAGAGAAAGAAGGAGCTACTACCTTTTGCAACAACATGGATGGAACTGGAAAGCATTATGCTGAGTGAAATAGGCCAGGCATTGAAGGACAAATACCATATGATCTCACCTTTGACAGGAAGCTAAAGAATAAAACAAACAAGCAAACAGAACAAAAACAAAGACACTGAAATAGAGAACAAGTGGGCAGCGACCAGAGGGGAGAGGGAAGGGAACTTAAGGAGAAAAAGGGGGAGGGATTTTGAGGAACAAGTATGAGGGACGCAGAGATGAGGACTGGGGGGGGAATGGGAGGGAGGGGGGAGACCGGGCGGGGGGGTGGGGTGGGATGGGAGAAATAAATTTAAAAAAATGTACTTGAAAAGTAACTAAATAAAATTTAATATTAAAAAAATAATAATAAAAAAATAAAAGTCCTAGAGGAGAAGATAGACAGGAAAATCTCAGCTATTACATGCAGCAATATTTTCACCAATGTGTCCCCTACTCAAAGGATATAAAGGAAAGAATAAATAAATGGGACTTCATCATAATTAAGATTTCTTTAAAATTTTATTTACATAAGAACATGTATAAATTTGCACATGTAATTCATGCAAAAATAAAAGTAACTTTTAGAATTTCTGAAACATATTCAACATACTTCTCCCCCAATTTAATATAAAAATAATCTCAATCAAGAAGTTAGGACTAATTTTGTTCCACAACTGAGGCAAACCCTTGTGAGTACAGTAAGTCCTCACTTAATGTCATGGATAGGTTCTTGAAAACTGCAACTTTAATCAAAATGACATAATGAAAACAGTTTTACCATACATTAATTGATATAAACAAGAATTAAGAGACTTCTGGCCAAGATGAAGGCATAGGTGGACACACTGTGCCTTCTCACACAACCAAAATAAGGACAACAACAATTTAGAAACAAAAAAAAAAACCAACCAAAACCGACAGAAAATTGAACTGTATGGAAGTCTGACAACCAAGAAGTTAAAGAATATTCATCCAGACTGATAGGAGGGGCAGAGTTGAGTGGCCAGACAGAGAGGGGTTGCAGCAAAGCAGTGACTGTCAGAGTCAGGCGCACAAGGCAGCAGCTGGGGGACCCAGTGAGGCAGCAGATTATAGAGAGGCGCAGTGCACGAAGTGGCTGGCAGACAGGGAGGTCCCACATTCATGCACAGAGAAACCAGACAAAAGTGAGGAACAAAGCTGATTGCTCAACCTAGGGTCCCAGCATGGGTAAATAAAGCCTCAAACCACTGATTGAGGACACCCCTGGGGGTTGAGGTGCTGGGAGAGACTCCCAGACTCACAGGAGAGTTTGTTGGAGAGACCCACAGGGTCCTAGAACATACACAGGCCCACCCACATGGGAGTCAGCACCAGGGTTGCCCAATTTGCTTGGGAGAAGTGAGGGAGGTGACTGGGATCCAGCAGAGAGTGGACCAGGTGCCATCCTGCCCTCTTGGACCCCTCCCCCACATACAGAGTCACAACCCAGAGACTGGGTTGCCCCTCCCTGGTGAATACCTTGGGCTCCACCCTTCACTAAGTAATAGGTGTGCTGAGACAAAAACAAACAAACAAAAAAAAAAACCCAAATGAAAGAACAGATCAAAGCTCCAGAAAACATACAACTAAGGAATGAAGAGATAGCCAACCTATCAGATGCACAGTTCAAAACACTGGTAATCAGGATGCTCATAGAATTGTTTGAATTTGGTCACAAATTAGATGAAAAAATGAAGGCTACGCTAAGTGAAATAAAGGAAAATGTACAGAGAACCAATAGTGATGGGAAGGAAGCTGGAACTTAAATGAATGGAGTGGACCAGGAGGAAGAAACATCCAATGAGAAAAGAATGAAGAAACAAGAATTTTAAAAAAGTGAGGAGAAGCTTAGGAACTTCCATGGCATCTTTAAGCATTCCAACATCTGAATTATAGGGACCAGAAGGAGAAGAAGAAGAGCAACAAGTGGAAAAGTTATTTGAAGAAATACTAGCCCTGGCTGGTGTAGCTCAGTGGATTGAGCACGGGCCTGCCAACCAAAGGATCAAGGTTTGATTCCCAGTCAGGGCACATGCCTGGGTTGCAGGCCAGTTCCCAGCAGGGGACTCATGAGAGGCAACCATACATTGATATTTCTCTCCCTCTCTCCTTCCTTTCCCCGTAAAAGATAAATAAATAAAATCTTAAAAAAATAAATAATAAAGGAGAACGTCCCCAATCTGGCAAGGAAATAGACTTCCAGGAAGTCCAGGAAGCTCAAAGAGTCCCAAAGAAGTTGGACCCAAGGAGGAGCACACCAAGGCACATCATCATTCAGTTAACCAAGACTAAAATGAATGAGATAATCCTAGAAGCAGCAAGAGATAAGGAGACATTCACCTACAAAGGAGTTCCCCTTGGACTGTCAGCTGATTTCTCAAAAGAGACTGTACAGGCAAGAAGGGGCTGGAAAGAAGTATTCCATGTCCTGAAAGGCAAGGACCTACATGCAAGATTGCTCCAGCAAAGCTTTCATTTAGAATGGAAGGACAGATAAAGTGCTTCTCAGATAAGGTCAAGTTCAAGGAGTTCATCATCACCAAGCCCTTATTATATGAAATGTTAAAGGGACTTATCTAAGAAAAAGAAGATAAAAACCATGTACAGTAACATGACAGCAAACTCACAATTATTAACAACCACACCCAAAACAAAACTAAAGGCAAATAAGCAAACAACTAGAACAGGAACACATGGAGGAACAGGAAGAGGAAGGAGATCACATGGAGGGTTAGCAACAGGGGAGTGGGAGGAGGAGAGAGGGGGAAAAGGTACAGAGAATAAGTAGCATAAATGGTAGATAAAAAATAGATGGGGAGGGTAAGAACAGTATGGAAAATGTAAATGCTAAATAACTTACATGTATGACCCATGGACATGAACTAAAGGGGAGGAATGTGGGTGGGAAGGGGTGCACAGGGTGGAGGGGAGTAAAGGGGGGGAATGGGACAACTGTAATAACATAATCAGTAAAATATATTTTAAAAAACAATTAAATTCTTACATTTCTGGTCACAAAAGCATCACCAAACTTTGAAATAAAGACCCCAAACACTTTTAACATTAAACATTGAAATAAGTGCAAGCTATGCATACATTTAAGAAAGATGAATAAAAACAAGTATGTTATTTTCCAACCCATGTATTCCAGTTTAGGACTGAGAGAGGCTGGAGCCTATCCTGGCAGCTCAGGGTGCAAAGCAGGAACCAACCCTAGACAGGATGTCATTCCACTGTAGGGTATACACACACACCCTCACTCAGAGTGGGCCAATTTTGACACACCAATTAACTTAATGTGCACATTTTTTATTCTGGGAAGAAACTGGAGTACCTGGAGAAAACCCACAAAGACATGGGGAGAACATGAAAACTCCACACAGAGAGAGCCTGTGACTAAAATCAATTTTTCCCCTCACCATTATAATGGAGTGATGCTAAATGAAACATTTTTGAGGACCTGCTGTATTTTATTCTATGCCATGTGTACTATGAAGATTACTGCTCTGACTGATGGGGACAGACACTGTTTTTGGCTCTATGTGAGCTTATGGGATTTCCCTGTAATCCTTTCTGGTGGTTCTGTCCTGGGGTTTGCAGGTCCATATGTTGACTGGTACTCATGCACCTTCCCGATGGGTTTCCCTGTGAGGTCTGTCCTGTTACCACAAATTTCTCTTCACCAGGCAGTTCAAGGGCTCACCTTGTTCCTTCCCCATTTCTTTGTGTTCACTGTTCTTCACTGTCTCATACTGCATGTCTTCAAACCTGTTGTAGATATATTTTGTCCTTTTAAAGTTTAAGACAAGAAGCTAAACCTGGTTCCTCTTACTTCATTTTGAGCAGAATAAATAGAAAGTAATTTGAAACACTTTTGTGAAATTTCTAGAAAAAGTGTGTCCCTTTATAATAACTTTGTTTCTGAGCTTTCTATTCTGTCATAGCTAATAACTGACTTTTATAGTAATAAAACAACTTTAATTATTGTAGGAGTAAATGTCCTCAAGTTTATATTTTTCCACTTTATAAAAAAATAAAATTTCATAATCTTCTTAAAAAAGAAAAATGCCAGTACCTTTGTCATATGTTAAAAGTTCATGCATTATGTGCTGTTATTTAAATGTAAAAACACAAGGGTGAACATGAAGGATGAGAGTAACCAGGTAAATATTTTTGTTTTTTAGAAAAAGAAACAAAAATTACAAAAATCCTACCAAGTAAAAAAGACGGGATTTCAGTGTTCTCCTGAACCAGCCTTCTCAGGTACCCCAAAGTCAGTTTGATTTTACTTGTGTGATATTCACAATTTCTTCCAGAGCCCAAGTGGCTTTACTTCCCAGAGTGAGGGCGGTCTCAACAGAACTGAAGGGAAAAGTACCAGAGCCTTTGGCTGAAGGTCCACGCGTGGACTAACGGGCTTTGTGGGAGCGCACTCTGTCCCGGGAGGTCTGAGAAGCCTGGGAACGCTCTCAGGCACGTAGCAAGCGGTGAGTGGCTCCTGAAGCAACTAGTGTGGCAGAGTCCCACCCTCAGCGTTGCTGGTAGTATAATCCCCTTCTCTGGGTGCTTAATGCATACTGTTGTCCGGAGCCTCTGCAGCGGTCTGCGGTGCTTGCTACCGAGTCCAGGGGTCTGGGTTGTACTGTGGAGGAGACTGCAGTTCCTAGGAGGGGCTCTGAGAATTGTGCTGGCGTTCGCTCCGGGGCATTATTGGTATTCCAGCTCTGCCAAGGAGAAACGCTGTGAATAGTGTAGTTCCGTGTCCCGGGGTACTGTGGGTATTGTAGTCCCGCCCTGAAGCACTTTGTTTAGCGCACCTACTAGCCTACGGTAGCTTGGCCCGGTGACTGTCTTTCCATGCTGGTGGTGAGCGAGGTTGGGATGGCAGCCCGTATCTGGGAAGGACAGTGGGGAAAACCCGGGAAGGGAGGGCCGGGAAGTGCTGCTCAGGCCTGGGTTTCTTGAGGTGTGATTTTTCTGGGCAGGGGTAGAGGGCCTAGGTCCTGTCCTGTTCAGGCTGGGCATAACTCGGGTGATTTTGGGAACTCGAATACCCTGGCTGGAAACTGGCGTCCCCACAGCTGTGGACCTGTGGCTGGGGTTTATTCCTGGGTATTCATGGGGATGCTCAGCTGGTGGCCCGTGGTGCTCAGCATGGTGGTGGAGGAGCTGCTTGCCACGAGGACCCTGGTTTTGGGGGAAAGCACTGGCTTGCAGACTTATTGGGGGGGGGGGGGGGGTGAGACCGAGGCGGCCGAGGCCAAGCAACCAGGATTAGAGCATTGGGGAAGTTGGAAGGCCTACTGGGGTCAGTTTTCCAGGTGCATAGGGCGTCCCTGGGTCAATACCGGCTCCCTCTGGTGTGGGGCCCTGCCAAAAGCCCCACTTAGAATAAGTGGAATGAGCCCACAGGCTGGGAACTTTTCCCAAGCCCCGTGGGGTGCTGGCTGACCCCCTGAATTTCTGGGAGTGAGGGTCAGGGTAAGACATCAAAACTTAAGCTCTTACTACCTTTTCGTTATGAAAACCTAGAAGTAACCATGAGGTTCCATGGATTTATTGCTCTGATTTATCACTTATCAGTGAGAACCTGTACTTTCCCCCCAAATCTGCATGTGTGTATCTCTTTGGGCAGTATCTCTAGCCAGAGGCTTATGCCAGGCCTGCATTAGAATCCCTGTCTTTATAGGGAGGGTTGAAATCCAGGTGTGCCTTTTTCTCACAAGCTGTCATCAGTATGGAAAAAGGTAAACTTGTGTCTAGCACATGCTAAGTGCTTAGTAACTAACTTCCTTTGTGTTTTTATTAAACTTCATAGGCAAATAGAAGATGGTGACATGCTGGGTGTTAGCTTGTAGGCTTGTTCTAAAATCCATCCCATGACTCTGTAGGAACATAGAACCTTCTCACTCTTGACACTTTATTGAAGAGGACCCCACTGCATGCTTGGGGGTTTCCAGCCTGCCTTCTGGACTGGGAGAGAATCCTAAGGCTGGAGCTGCTTCTCTCTGTTCAAGTCTTCCCTGGAGCACCTCATGCCCCACCCCACCCACATCCAGAGGGATTGCCTGTTAGAGTGGGGAGAACTCCTAAGGGCCTGGCAGCGCCCTCTTAGGTGGGCAACACTTCCATATGTTCCTGTGATGTCTTTGCTCATAATGGAGGTGGAGGGTGCATTGCTTTGCTTGTCTTTGGTGTCTTGAGTGTAGTTTTCTCCTCTGGGCTCAGAGCTGCAGGTGGTTTCCCTGGGGTTTCCCAACATCTCCGGGGAACTCCCAGCTGTATTCTCAGGGCTTCTGAGCTCTGGCAGCACAAAGATGATGAGAAGTAGTGTGTGTATGTATGTATATATGAGGTCGGTCCAGAAAAAGTCCAGCCATTATTAATATAATGAGAACAGTTTGTGTGACATCGATTAACAAGGCAGCTAAGAAGAGTAGACTGAATGCACATGTGTGAACAATGATGACTTCACTGGACTAGTCAATGGGGGCAGTAGATGCCATTGACTGAGCATGTATACTGTGTGGCTGTCACATTCAATATGACTGAGTGAGTAGAGCAATGAATCTGCATCACATTTTGAGTTAAGCTTGAACATTCCTCTGTGGAAACCATTCAGATGATTCAGAAGGCTGCAGCTATAAGCAACTGGTGATTAGCAGCTTCGTCTCAACAATGCACCTGCTTATACATCATGTCTTGTATAGAGTTTTTTTGTGAAACATCCAATCACCCAGGTGACTCACCTCTTCTACAGCCCAGATTTGGTGCTCTATGACTTCCAGCTTTCCCAAAACTAAAATCACCTTTGAAAGGAAAGAGATTTCAGAACGTTGATGAGATTCAGGAAAAATGATGGGGCAGCTGATGTCAATTGGGAGAACTATGTGAGGTCCCAAGGTGCCTACTTTAAAAGGGACTGAGGTATCATTGTCCTATATACAGTGTTTCTTGCATCTTGTATCTTCTTCAATAAATGCCTGTTTTTCGTAGCACATGGATGGATATTTTCTGGACAGACCTCGTGTGTGTGTGTGTGTGTGTGTGTGTGTGTGTGTGTGTGTGTATTTATCCTTACTTGAGACATGCTTATTGAGTTTTAGAGAGAGGACACAGGAAGGGAAGGAGAGAGAGGGAAAGAAACATTGATTCATTGTCTCTTCTAAGCTCCCTGATTGGGGAACGAACCCAAAACCTAGGCATGTGCCCTGATTGGGAATTGAACATGCAGTTTTCCAGTTTACAGGAGACTCCAACCAAGTAGGCCACATTGGTCAGGGCAAGAGAGGTAATGTTTAAGATCAGTAGTCCTTTGTTGGTGGTGTGCTTTCTGTGTACTGCCAAAGTTTATTTCCTCAGCCATCCTTGTACCTTTTGTAGTAAAATTCTCACATTACAGAGAGGGAAATGGTACAGGAACTTTTACTTCGGAGCTAACTGTTCTTTAACTTCTAAAGTTTTAATGAAAATGTAAAAGGAGTTATTCTATATTTCAAGTTTGTCTCATGCATCTAATGCTCGTGAAGATAAAACATTTGTTTACTTTCTCCTGATCCTTTGTCCCAGCCCCTAATGTCATTAACTTCTGTTGACTTTAGTGACACCACAGACCATCCAGTGTTTGTAGTTTATCCCCTCTCCTTTTACATTTTTCCCCTACTTTTGGAGGTATGAAGGGAGATGGCTTATCAAATTTAAAATTATGAAAATTTAACAAATACAGCCAAAAGTAGTGAGAATACTATAAGAGCACTCCTGTGCCCCTTGCTTAGCATCAGCAAGTGTCAACATTCTGTTCTTCCTTTTAGTTTTCTCTACTGAAGTATCCTGCGGCAAGTCTCAGAAAACATCTTACCTGTGAATACACTTCAGTGTGCATCTCTTTTGAATAAGGACTTTAAAGAAAACAACCTGTATATCCCATATATGTATATATATCCAGCAAAATTAACTCAAACTCATTAACGTTATCTAATTCAGGCTGTGTTCAATTTCCCCAGTTGTCACAAACTGCCTTGCTCCCAACAGCACAGGCGTGGAGGACAATATGGGGAATTCTGCCATCTGAATCCCTCCTTGGCTCTTCTCACCCATTCTGACCCTGCTGATCTTGTTAATGGCAGGATTGTCCCTCTTGGCACACCTCAGGGGTCATGCATCCTGGAGTTTTCCAGATTTCCCACTAATCCAATGAGCTGTTGAGTCTTGTCAATTCTCGCTCCTCCCCTCTTTTCTCCTCCCCTCCTTTCTCCTCCCCTTTATGTTAGCTCAGCACATTGGCCTTCCCCATGTTCTAGTTCATCTTCCTCTTACAAAAAGGTCCTCCTCTCTGTAGTGCAAATTCTGAAGTCAGACTCTGAGGCTCCACTACACTAGTACTGACTCTGTGACCCTGGGCATTTGCCTGCATTCTGTGTCCCTTCTCATCTGTAAAATAGGGCTAGTAGCAACTGTGAGGGTCGTGAAGTGGAAATGTGATCTTCGGAAGTTATGAGGGTGCCTGGCACACACAAGTGGGTGCTCAGGGAGAGTACTTTGTGGGGATAATGATTATCCATTCTCAACTATCCCCTAAACAGGCTTTCCAGAATCATTTTCATCCTTCACTCCAACTGGACTCTGGTTAACAGCCACATGGGAATCTATGCCAATCTGCAGTCTTTTTCCCCTCAGACCTTTATGTTCCACACATTCATCCTTGTTAACTAGCTTAGATGTTTCTCTAGTGCAAAGATTTCTGAGTGCTCTCCAGCAGAATACGTCCCAGAGCACTTGTACATAAGGAGGTTGGGGCCGGGATGGTGCATCCCAACTGTCTGATTATCTCACTGGTGTTGAGATGGTTTTTTGAGGAACAGGTACCTTGTCTGGCTCCTGGCTCCTTCTGGGTGACTGCTTAGCACCCAGATGTGAGGATATTAGGGGTTGTCCTTTCTTCCTGGAAAGTGACATTTGTGGGGCATTGACGGGATCTCAGGTGGGAAGGGGTTAGAGTGTTACTGGAGACGGTCATGGGTGGCAGATAATAGATGTGGATCTTGTTCTGTGGTCAGTGAGACCCACTGCAAGTTTTGTCCAGAGGGGGATCATGATTCTTCCTTTTTTAACCTCATCTCTGCTCCCCTTTATAATGAAAGTCATCAGGAGAGAGTTGTCTACACTTGATAAGTACAGTTTTGCTCCACTGAATCTCTAATTTCCAGATATTTTGGGATTGTTTTTTAGATAAATTATTGTTACTAATTTCTTATGCAATTCCACTTAGAACAAAGAATGTACAGTATCAGTTTGTGTAAGTTGGCAGTTATTTCACAGCCTAATATATACAGTATTTTGGTGAGTGTGCTTTGAGCCCCAGAATAGAATTCATTATGCCTGTTGGGTGTCTTAATACTATGTTTGGTCAAGTTGCTTGCTTGTTACATTCAGATGTTTTATTTCTTTATGATTTATTCTTATCAGTTTATTTAGCAATAGTTTCCTCATTTTATTAATTACTATGACAGTGTTTAATTCTCCAACTAGGATTGTGGAATTTTCTGTTTCTCCATTAAATCTGGTTTTATTTTCTTCGTGTATTTTCAAGCACTGTTACAAGATGCACATACATTTACCTTTGGTATATTTTTTGATGAATCAGCCCTTTTATTTTCATGAAACATGTCTTTGTGCCTCTGGTAATATTTTTGTTTTGAAATATACTTTGGTATATTGCCACTCCAATCTTATGCTTACTGTGTGCATTTATGTCTTTTTCCATGTTTTCCTTGAGCTAACCTGTGTCTATATTTAGAGTGTGCTTTTTTTTTAAAGATTTTATTTATTTAATTTTAGAGAGAGGGGGAGGGAGGGAGAGAGAGAGGGAGAGAAACATCAATGTGTGGCTGCCTCTCACACACCCCCAACTGGGGACCTGGCCTGCAACCCAGGCATGTGCCCTTACCAGGAATCTAACCCACGACCCCTTGGTTCACAGTCTGGCACTCAGTCCACTGAGCCACACCAGCCAGGGCTAAACTGTGCTTCTTGTAGATGGCTTGCTTTTTTTTAATCCAGTCTGGCAGTCTGTGCCTTTTCAATTAATTGTTGGGTTTATTTCATGCAATTATCAGTATGGCTAGATTATGTCTCTACTTTTATTGTTTGTATTTTATTTGCCTCATCTGTTTTTTGTTACTCCTGCCTTCTTTGGGTCAATGTATTACTTTTTGAAATTCCATTTACCATATTTTTCAGATTATAAATTGCACCCCGCCCCCGTGCAATTTGGGAGGAATAATGGTTGCTAATGCCACCGTTGAGTTCTGTCTACATTTACATTGGTGAAGTATTATGTTATTAATGTTATTAAGTATTTTACCACATTTTTTGCTTCAAATTTTTTTTCCTATTTTCCTCTAAAACCTAGCTGCATCTTATGGTCTGAAAAATACGGTAATTTAAATTGCCACTTAACCATAGTGCTTTGCATTTTTACTTTTTTGTAAGTCTTTTTTTTTTAGAATTTTAATTTATTTATCTTCAGAGGGGAAGGGAAGAAGACAGGGAGAGAAATATCAATGTATGGTTGCCTCTCATGAGTCCCCTGCCGGGAACTGGCCTGCAACCCAGGCATGTGCCCTGACTGGGAATCGAGCCACGATCCTTTGGCCCGTGCTTAATCCACTGAGCTACACCAGCCAGGGCTCGCATTTTTACTTTTTATTTTTAGTGGTTGCTCTAGATATGACAGTATACTGTATTTTGCTATGCGTAATGCACTCCCATGTGTAATGAGCACCCACGTTTTTGGCCCAAACTTTCAGGAAAAAAATTCATTTTAATTTTTAAATTTATTTATTTATTTATTTGTTTATATTTAGAAACAAAACCGATGATCATATTCCATGGTATTATTTTGCATACAGATATCATTATTGCATTCTAGAGTTACACTTTTAATGTATAAGCATAAATAAAAGAATTAAAAGCATTTATACTGATACAAAATTAGTACTACCTATGTATAATATGCTTCCTTATTTTTCCTAAGCAATTTGTGCAAATAAGTGTGCATTATACATGGTAAAATACAGTACATCCATAATGTTTCATAGCCTACTTGGAGTTAATATTATACTAGTTCATGTAAAATGAGGAATCTTGCTGTCCTTATTTCCAGGTTTCCATTTAGCATCATTTTTCTTTAGCTTGATGAAACAGACCACTTCCTGTAGGGCAACTCTGCTGGCAATAAATTCTCTTGGTTCTCTCATTAATTTGGGGTAATTTGGAAACTGCTGGATCATAGGATTGTTAGGCATTATAGGAAACTGCTTTACAGTTTCCAAACATCACTGTGTAATTTTACACTTCTGCAAGCATTGTAAAGACGTTGTATTTTCTTTAATCCATTTTAGCTGACAAAAAGTTTATGAAGTTGATCTGTTTTTTTACTTCTTTTTCAATCTTTATTTATTTTAATTATTTTCTTTCACTTTTGACATTATTTACATCTACTGTTCAAAAATCCATAGAGCTGGTGAGATCAGACATCCTTGTCCTCTTCCTGATTTGGGGGAATTCATTCAGCATTTTATCAGTAAGTATGGTATTAGCTCTCTGTATTTTTTAAGTGCTTATGTATTTAGTAGAGACATTTCCTTCTGTTACTATAGTTCACTGTGAGTTTTTAATCATGCATGGCCATTGAATTTTGTTATTTTTTTCTGCATCTATTGAGGTGATTTTTCTCCTTTATTTTGTTAACAAAAATAATTATGTTGATTGGTTTATGTATTATTTTCTTATATTTATGTTTTATAGTTGTTCCAGTTATTTCCCTCTTTACCCCCTAGTCTCAGCTTGCCCCACATTTCCATAGTCATTCCTAACCCCAGTGTCCATGTCCGTGGGTCCTTCATATATATATTCCTTGACTAATCCCTTCACCTTCTTTCGAACACTCACCTCTCCCTCCACCATCTACCACTGTCAGTCTGTTCTGTGATTCTATGCCTCTGATTCTATTTTCATAATTAACTTATTTTGTTCACTAGATTCCTCTTACAAGTTAGATCATATATTTGCCTTTCACCTCCTGCCTTATTTCACTTAGCATGATAGTCTCCAGTTCCACCCATGCTGTCAAAAAGGTAGGAGTTTCTTCTCTCTTTCTGCTGCACAGTATTCCATTGCATAAACGTAGCATACTCTTATTGTCTACTCATCTACTAATGAGTACTTAGGCTGTTTCCAACTCTTGGCTATTGTGAATAGCACCACTATGAACATTGGGGTGCATACGTTTTTTTGAATTGGTGTTTCAGGGTCCTTAGGGTATATACCCAATAGTGAAATTGCTGGGTCAAAAAGCAGTTACATTTTTAGTTTTCTGAGGAAATTCCATACTGTTTTCTACAGTGGCTATACCAGTCTGCTTTTCCTCCAGCAGTGTTACGGGGTTCTCTTTCTGCCACATCCTCCCTAGCACTTGTTTGTTGATTTATTAATGATGGCCATTCTGACCAGTGTGAAGTGGTATCTCATTGTGTTTTAAATTTGCATCTCTCTGCTGGCTAATGATACTGAGCATTTTTTTCATATGTCTTTGGGCCTCTGTATGTACTTGGAGAAGTGTCTGTTCAGGTCCTTTGCCCATTTTTTAATTGGATTGTTTGTTTTCATGGTGTTGAGTCATGTGATTGCTTTATATATTTTGGAAAGCAAATCCTTGTCTGAGGTGTCATTGGCAAATATATTTTCCCATATGGTTGGTCCCCTTTTCATTTTGCTGATGGTTTCTTCAGTTGTACAGAAACTTTTTAATTTGATGTAGTCCCATTTGTTTATTCTTTCCTTTATCTCCCTCGCTCTAGGGGACATATTGATGAAAATATTACTGCATGGAACATCTGAAATTTTCCTACCTATGTTCTCCTCTAAAACTTCTGTGGTGTCACAACTTATCTGTAAGTCTTCTATCTACCTTGAATTTATTTTTGTGTATGGTTTAAGTTGGTGATCAAGTTTCATTTTTTTGCACATAGCTGTCCAGTTCTCCCAACACCATTTGTTGAAGAGGCTATTTTTACTCCATTTTATGCTTCTGCTCCCTTTGTCAAATATTAATTGACCATAGAGACATGAGTTTATTTCTGGGTTCTCTATTCTGTTTCATTGGTCTATGTGTCTGTTCTTATGCCAGTACCAGATGTTTTGATTACTGTGGCCTTATAATACAGTTTGATATCAGGTATTGTGATCCCTCCTGCTTTGTTCTTCTTTCTCAAAATTGCTGCAGCTATTCAGGTTCATTTATGGTTCCATACAAATTTCTGAAATGTTTGTTCTTTAACTGTGAAATATGCCATTGGTACATTAATAGGGATTGCATTGAATCTATAAATTGCTTTGGGTAGTATGACCATTTTGATGATGTTAATTCTTCCAATCCATGAGCATAGTACATGCTTCCATTTGTTTGTGTCTTCCTTAATTTCTTAATTCAGTGTTGTGTAGTTTTGTGAATACAGCTCTTTTACCTCCTTGGTTAGGTTTATTCTTAGGTACTTTATTTTTATTTTCACTGTATGAAATATGATTTTTCCCCTGATTTCTGTTTCATATATTTTATTGTTGGTGTACAAAAATGCCTTTAATTTCTAAATATTGACTTTATTCCTACTGTTTTGCCAAATTCACTTGTTAAGTCTAGTAGTTTTTTGTTGGAGTCTATAGGGTTTTCTAGGTACTCTGTAATGTCATCAGTAAACAATGATAGTTTTACTTCCTCCTTTCCAATTTGTATGTCCTTTATGTGGGCGCCACAAGCCCCCCTTGGCAAAGCCGGGGGGCCAGGACCAGCTGGCAAAGCCGCTGCTCGTGGTGACCTTTCAGCTTAGAAAACAAAAAGGGGGAGATGTGGGCGCCACTAGCCCCCCATGGCAAAGCCAGGGGGTTAGGACTAGCCGGCATAGCTACTGCTCGTGGAGACGCGCCGTAAGCCCCCCTTGGCAAAGCCCGGGGGGGCCAGGGCCAGCTGGCAAGGCCGCTGCCCGTGGCACAGTTCCTCTCCACCTTGCTTGGCTCCCTGCCTGGAACCTGCTGTGGCTAGACAATAGGTTTCCCAAGAACTTATTAGCATAAGATAGACAGCCTGTTTCCCTGTAGAAGGGTAGGTCATGCACCGGTGCTTGATAAACAGGGAAGTTTTGATAGCACCCTGTGTTCCCCTGTTGTTCCGTGGAGTAGCTTTGCAGAAAGGACAAAGAAACTAGCTTGGGTGCAGCCCCCTCCTGCTTATTCCCCATAATTGTAATAAAAGCCTTGAATAAACGGAGTTCGGGGCTCAGCGGGATGCTGAGACCTCTCCAACCTGACTCCCTGCGTCCTTGACTCATTTCCACCCCCTCCCCTCTCCTGGAGAGGCTGGTCCGCGGTACTTTTATTTATTTTCTTGACTGATCACTGTCAAGAACTTCCAGCACTATGTTGCACAGTTGTGGGGAAAGTAGACACCCTTGTTTTGTTCCTGATCTTAGTGGGAAAGGTTTTAGTTTTTGCCCATTGATTATGATGTTGGCTGTAGGTCTCTGATATATGGCCTTTATTATATTGAGGAATGCCTCCCCTACTGCCACGTTGCTGAGTGTTTTTGTCATAAATGGGTGCTGTACCATATCATGTTTTTTCTACACCTATTTATATAATCATGTGATTTTTGTCTTTCCTTTTGTGTATGTGATGTATTACATTTATTGATTTGTGAATATTGTACTATCCTTGTATCCCTGGGATGAATCCTACTTGATTATGGTATATGATATTTTTAATGTATTGCTGGATGTTATTTGCCAATATTTTGTTGAGGATTTTAGTGTCTATGTTCATCAGCGATATTGGTCTGTAGTTTTCTTTGTTCTGTCTTTATCTGTTTTGAGGATTAGGATGATGCTGGCCTCAAAAAGGGTTTGGGAATTTTTCCTCTTCTTGAATTCTTTGGAATAATTTGAGAAGGATTGGGGTTATCTCTTCCCTGAATGTTTTTTAAAATTCTCCTGTGAAGCTGTCCAGCCCAGGGCTTTTGTGTGTTGGGAGTTTTTTTGATTACTGCTTCAACTACCCTAGCTTGTTATTGGTCTGCTCAAGATATCTGCTGCTTCTTGATTTAGTTTTGGAAGATTGTATGTTTCTATAAATTTCTCCATTTCATCCAGGTTTTCAAATTTCTTGGCATATAGCCATTCATAGTAATTTCTTACAATCCTTTGCATTTCTGTGGTATCAGTTGTAATCTCTCCTCTTTCAATTTTGATTTTATTTATTTGGGACTTGCCTCTGTTTTTCTTGATGTGTCTGGATAAAGGCTTGTCAGTTTTGTTTATCTTTTCAATGCATCAGCTCCCATATTTATTAATTGATTTGTTCTTTTCATGTCTCTGTCACTTAATTCTGCTCTGGTCTTAGTTATTTTCTTCCTTCTACTCACTCTGGGCTTTGTTTGTTGTTGTTCTTCCAGTTCTTGTAGATGTAGGGTTAGGTTGTTTATTTGAAATGTTTTGGTCTGTTGTAGATAGGCCTATATTGCTATAAACTTCCCTCTCAAGACTACCTTCACTGTGTCCCATAGCTTTTGAGCTGTTATGTGTTCCTTTTCATTTGTTTCAAGAAACTTTTTTATTTCTTCCTTGATCTCATTATTAACCCATTCTTTGCTTAATAGAATGCTGTTCAGTCTCATGAGTTTGAATGTTTTTGAGTTTTTTCCCTTGAGATTTATGTGCTGTTAAGGGGCATGTATGAGATCGTGGCCTCTTAATTTGGAGGTTTGGATTTGCAGACAATAAAAACTCCAAGTCAAAAGTGAATAGTTAAGCAATTTATTAAGCAAGAACAAAGGGAAAGCAAGAATTAAGAGCATGCATCACCAGATAGGAAAAACACCCAAACACACACTGGGGAATCCCGGGGACAGCTGTATTCAGGGTTCATCTGGGAACAGTTCCAAGCAAAGTGTCCTTCCCTTGGGTGGGATTCCAAAGTTTCACTTTGGAGGTTCTGCTTAAATATGTTTTAGACAAAAGTGGCTACATGCCAAGGGCCTTTCATGACCCAATTGACTAACCATTTCCTCTGGGAGAATAGCTAGTTCTCCCCAAGGAAAGGATTAGTGTTTACAGGTACTGAGTTAAAAATGGTGCTTAGTCTTCCGTGGAGAAGAGCTTGTTCTCCCAAGGAGACAGCACACCTATATTTCTTTCTTACAATAAAAGGTCATGGCTTGGGCATAAAAAGATTCTTAATATTTCTTTAACCTGGCAGTTGGTTTCTAGTTTCAAGCCCTTGAGGTCCAAGAAAATATTTGATATGATTTCAGTTTTCTTGAATTTGTTGAGACTTGTTTTGTGTCCTGTCATGTTATAGGGGACCATTCTGCGTGGCGTGGGCCCAGCTCCCAGTGGAAAGTAAGGTCCGATGCACAGGACCCATGCCCACAGATAGGTTCTCCTATGGGGAATCAGACCTGCATTGTACATAGGACGCTTTGAGACTTGGTTTTTGCTAAAACTCCCTCACCCTGAATTGAGACAGCAAGTACTATAACTTCCTAAAGTCTGTGCTAAACCTCCTCAGTATGGAGTGTAACTGGTTCAACCACTTTTCCCTTTGCATTTGTAAATATCCTTCTTCTGTGATGTGATTAGCAGCAGCATCTCCTTTGTTTTTTGTAAAAGGTAACCACCTAAAGGAACCTGTGCATGGTAAATGAGGACCATCATGTAATGTACCCAGAAAAGCAATAAAGGCCTGTCAAGGCAAGGGCTGAGGCTTTTTCTCTGCTTGAGAAAGGAGCCATGCCATCCCTTTTCCTCCATAGAACTCAGTAGTCCATGTGAATTTCTCCTGCCACATCCACAGTGTAGCGGTCGGACCCCACAAGCCAGGGTCATCATCTCGTCTATCTGAAAATATTCCATGTGCTTTTGAAAAGAATATATATTTTGCTTCTTTGGAATGAAAAGTTGTATATATCAGTTAAATCCATTTATTTGATCTAGTGTGTTGTTTAGTTCCACAATATGTTGGGTGCATATATGATTACAATGTTTGTGTCTTCTTGACGGATTCTTCTCTTAAGTATTATGAAGTGCCTTTCTGTGTCTCTTTTTATGGCCTTTGTTTTGAATTCTGTTTTGACTGATATGAGTATTGCTACCCCGGCTTTTTTTTCCTGGCCATTTGCTTGGAAAGTTTGTTTCCAGCCCTTCACTTTCAGTCTGTGTAGGTCTTTTGTTCTGAGGTGGGTCTCTTGTAGGCAACATATTTGTGGGTCATATTTTATTATCCATTTGAGTACCCTGTGTCTTTTTTTTATATAAATAATTTTATTTAGTTATTTTTCAAGTACAGTTTTTTGTTTATTTCTCCCATCCCAGCCCCACCCCCGCCCTGTGCTCTTACCTCCCTCCCATTTCCACCCCCCTTAGTTTTCGACCCTGTGTCCTTCATATTTGTTCCTCCAAATCCCTCCCCCTTTTTCCCCCTTAAATTCCCTTCCCTCTTCCCACTGGTCACTGTCCCCTTGTTCTCTATTTCAGTGTCTGTTTTTATTCTGCTTGCTTGTATGTTTTGTTGTTTAACTTCCTGTTAAAGGTGAGATCATATGATATTTGTCTTTCAACTCCTGGCCTATTTCACTCAGCATAATGCTTTCCAGTTCCATCCATGTTGTTGCAAAGGGTAGTAGCTCTTTCTTTCGCTCTGCTGCATAGAATTCCATAGTGTATATGTACCACAATTTTTTTTTAATTTTATTTATTTATCTTTAGAGGGGAAGGGAAGGAGAGAGGGAGAGAAACATCAATGTATGGTTGCCTCTTGTGCGTCCCCTGCTGGGAAGTGGCTTGCAGGGAACCGGCCTGCAACCCAGGCATGTGACCTGACTGGGAATCGAACAGCGATTGTCTGG